TTTGGCTCCGGATACGAAGGGCAACTTAGTCACCCCCACCATTTGGTGACCATCCGTTTCCGGATTCGAACCCAGGAACCCTATCGCTCCACCAGAAGCATTTGATTGAAACAAGGTTAAGACCAATCAACCAACCGATAAAAATTGACTTGGGGACTTTTAAAACTAAGGCGTCAAAATGTAGAGTAAGCTAAGTGAGGATTAAAACATTTCTTTCACGTTGCATTCCCTTCATAGGTTCGCTAACATTAAAAGTGTTACCGTAAAATGTTGCAACTTTGCCAACAAAGCTCAAATTTGCCTATTTTGTTTCAATTATGATATTTCTCGTTCGCTTAGTTGTTTCTTATTTTTTTACCATTTGGTAGTAAATTTCCATCATTAGGGCAACATATTTTTAATTGCTTATAACGATAACTCCATAATTACTTCTTACTTTGCCAGTTGTGTGACAAAAACCGGTGCAAGTGGGTGGATTTTTTGTGTCCTGCAACTACAAAGACGCTACCTTGAAAGACAAGACTGACCTTTGTAGGCTTTGCATAAGTGCTATAAACTTTTACTTGAACCTTATAGTGGCAGATTAAAATAATTTTGTACATTGGTTAAAGAATTTGGCGAAAAATTCCAAAATAAACATTGCGTTTTGCGAAGATACACCAGAATGTCTGCAGTTGAAAATATGTTATGACCCTGATCCATTTAAAAACCCTAACAAGAATAAAAAATAACGAATAAATAATAATTACTTATAAAAGAAGCCTCCCCTGAAAAAAAAAAAGTTGTGTACCATAGCGACTCAAGCCTGACATCGGAAACTTCGATTCATGCTGCAGATGACTCTCCGACTATGAAAATTTTGAATATTACGTTGCATGATGTTTACAATAACAAGAAGAATAAGAAAACTTAAGCCCTTTCGGAGTGAGTGATATCGATTTTTATGTTGAAAATTCTCTTGGACTTGAAAAAAAACAGCTGGATAATAGCAAAATTTGCTTCAAAAAAGTGTTAAATACTTTGTAGGAAGGGTTTTATCAATAAATAATCAAATTCCCAAAATGAAATTTGTACGAAAAGTAAAAAAATTCTAAGTGAGTTAAGGGAACGGAATTCACCTACCCTGACAATGAAGACATATTATATGATGTAAATGATTTAAAAGATATTATTGCAATTTTACCTGATGCTCAAATTTCCTAACGAGGACGTTTCATATTTAATTTAGATTTTGATAACTATAACATACAATGAGTAAAGATGTTATAACCAAACCAATAAAACCAAACCAAGCTAATAAAACATCATCATCGTCATCATCATTACTTATTTATTTATTTATTTATTTATTTACAACTGACAAGTCCACTACTGAACATAGGCCTCCCCCAAGGTATACCACAAAGCCCGGTACTGAACCATCTGCATCCATCGACTTCCTGCATGCCTTACCAGGTCGTCACTTCATCTAGTGGAGGGTCGTCCTACACTTCACCTATCAGTACGAGGCTGCCACTCGAGAACCATTTTTCCCAACGGTTGTCGGTTCTTCGAGCTATATGGCCGGCGCATTGCCCCTTCAGCTTACTAATCCGTTGGGCTATGTCAGTTACTCTGGTTCTACTGCGGATATCCTCATTTCTTTGTTTATCACGCAGAGAAACCCCGAGCATAGCCTTCTCCATAGCTTGCTGAGCGACTTTGAGCGTCCTCATACGGCCAGCAGTGTAGGACCACGTCTCAGATCCATAGGTCATCACTGGCAACACGCACTGGCTGTATAGTCTCGTTTTCAGATTTTGAGATATAGCTGACGAGAAGATGCGTCGTAATTTCCCGAAGGCTGCCCAGCCGAGATGAATCCGTCGATTAACCTCTCGGTCGAAGTTGGACTTACCTAGTCGGACTATTTGTCCCAGGTAAACGTACTCGTCAAAAACTTCGAGCATAGTGCTTCCAACAACTACCGGCATAGGTGTGACGTGGACATTAAGCATGATCTTTGTTTTGTCCATGTTCATCTTAAGACCTATCCGTTGGAAGACACTGTTGTGGTCATTCAGCATAGTGCTTAGGTCCTCCAGCGATTCTGCCATAAGGACTATATCGTCGGCAAATCAAGCTTGTACTCAGATGTACTCGCCATTGATGTTAATGCCGTATCCTTTCCAGTCCAGTAGCTTGAAAACGTCTCCCAATGCAGCGGTGAAGAGTTTCGGAGATATAACGTCACCCTGTCTTACACCTCTATGGTGAAAGTTTTCTTATTCTGGTTCTGTACTCGGATAGCCATCGTAGCCCTACTGTACAAACACTTCAGTACTTCGATGTACCCACAGTCCACTTGGCACCGCTGAAGGGACTGTAGCACCGCCCAAATATTGACGGATTCAAAGGCTTTCTCATAGTCCACATACGCCAGACAAAGTGGCAGATTGTACTCTTCGGACTTCTGTACAATTTGCCGAAAGGAATGTATGTGATCTATGGTGCTAAAGCCTTTTCGGAAACCGGCTTGTTCGGGAGGCTGGAAGTCGTCGAGTCTGCGTGCGAGACGATTCGTAATGACTCTCGAGAACAGCACGTAGATGCGGCTCAGAAGGAATATCGGTCTGTAGTTCTTCAAGAGAGCGTTGTCATCTTTCTTGAAGAACAAGACCACCGCACTTCTGCTCCACGCTTCGGGAATAGTGCCACCATGGAGTACGGAATTAAAGAGCTTCTGAAGGACTTCAAGTAGCGGTTTTCAATCCGCTTTCAGAAGCTCCGCTGTTATTCCATCCTCGCTCGGGGACTTGCCGTTTTAAAGGTGATGGAGAACCATTCTAATCTCGCTCAGACTGACGTCCGGGATATCGTTGGAATAGTGTCGGAAAAGACTTGCTCTTGGATCACTCACACTTGCGTGTGACTCCGACGATACCGTGTACAGCTGTCCATAGAATCTCTCAATCTCACTCAAAATCGCAGGTGTCTCGGAAACGATGCTGCCTTCCTCGGTCTTTAGCTTCGACAGTTGATTCTTTCTGAGAGACAGATCCCTGGCAAAGACTTTGGAGCCTTGGTTCCGCTCGATCGCTTCTTTAATACGAGCAGTATTAAAGTTGCGTAAATCTCGCCGCATACATTTTGAGATCTATCTGTTCAGTTGCCTGTATGCTGTCAAATCTGTTGACGATTGCAGCCTCATCTCCCGTCTAACAGCCATGAGATTAAGAGTGTGATATATATAGTTTTTGTGTTCTTCTGCGGCGGGTCTTGCAGAACTTAGCTCCGACGGCATCGACGGTTTCCACGAGTTTGTCATTCATATCGTCTACTGCATTGCAATCGTGCCTAGAACACTGAATACGGTTTTGTAACTCAAGCTGAAAGGTTTCGGGACCTTGGATTAGAGCACGATGGGGACGGAGCGTTGACTTCATTAGACAAGACCTCTCGAACTTAACGTTTAGGTTCAGTGTGCCTAACCATTCGATGATCGCTGCCAGTTTTCACCCTCGCGATCACAGAGACATCAATGAACAGTTGGCGTCTGGTCGTCATAATGAAGTCAATCTCACTTTTTATCGAACCGTCGGGACTTCTTCGGGCCGCTTCTGAAAGAAAGAGTTCATCATGAAGAGTCTCTCTTTCTCCATGAAGTCGGCCAGCTGCTGGCCCCTTCGGTTCCGTTGCCCTATTCCAAATTTCTCTAACATCAGTTCACCGCTTTCTCTTGTACCTAGTTTTGCGTTGAAGTCTACCATCAACACAGTATAGTGGATTTTGGAGGAATGCATGGCTCTAGAAATATCCTCATACACTTCCTCCACCTCCTCATCGGGATGTGTCGAGGTTGTTGCGTGAGCCTGCATGACTTTCAGCGAATACCGTTTGGTGATCAATCTTCACAACATTGTTGACGAGAGACTTGTGGACGATAAATGCGACACCTCCTTGAGACAGATGGTCGCTCTCCCAGTGATAGAACAAGTTGCCGGATTCGAGGATACCCGTATCATCCCCCTCCCTTCGGACCTCGGATAATCCTATTATATGCCAGCGCAATTTGTCTACCTCTTGTTCCAGCTCCAGTATCTTCTCGTCAGTCCTCAAGGTGCGTGCGTTATATGTTGCCAAGTCGAGTCGTCGTAGGTGGCAACCAAACCTCCACCGGAGATTCTTAGCACCCCCTGCCCCGCCGTTCCCATGGTCGTAACCGTAGCCAGGAATAGCCGGGCCGCCGGGGACTGGGGGCCGTTTTTTTTGTGTGGTTCCTAATGGACATGTTGGCATGTTTGTCATAGTCGCCATGTTTGGCGAGCGGGTTAGCAATCGTAGTATTTTTATTGTATAGTTGTTGTTATCAGGAAGATGCTGCTGTCCATCTCCTGCCTGCCTCCCTCTGTCGCCTCTTACGACACCCACGGGAAGATATGGTAGTGGATATTCTCAGCCACCACTACACGGCAACACTAATAAAACAATAATAATAATAATAACGACCCCATCGCCCGCTGACGTAACGGTTACGTGACAAAACCACTACGTGAGCGCAGTCAGTCAGCACCTTGCCAAGAGGTGGTAGTGCCGTGCCTCGGCATAAGTTGAAGGTACAAAGGCTCGCTTGTGCACATGGCCTCACCATGAAAAGGCGCCGGGTCTGGGCGTCTCCCGTTGAATGACGCCCATTAAAATGGATGATGGAATTTGATAGAACGCGCAAAGGGCCGCTGCCTGGGGGTCGCCGGGGCGCGTCTGGAGCTGGCGCTGGACGTGACAGCATGCGAACTGCCAGCCGAGCGCGAGGTGCTGCTCGACCACCTAGTAGCCCCTCGCATCCATCATCCCCACCAGCAGGCTTGGTGACGGCAGGGTCTTCGCGGGCCCAGCAATCGGCAAGCGCCATTGGTGGAATACGCCGCATGCGTTGGACAATCTCAATGAATAGCAACGCATTGCGGGCGTATTATAGGGCGATAGGGGGAGAAATTGGAGGTTTTGTGTATCGGGCAAGGATGCATCGACTTTTTGCTGAGCTGGAGCCATCTGTAACCGTCACCGAGCAAAACCTGGCAGAACGAGTTCGGTATATCTTGCGCTCAAATATATTTGATGACGCCGAACTCGAACGGCTACGACGTGAGGCTGTTCCCTCATCAAATGAAAATGCTACGGCTGAGGACGCGGTGCCACAAGTTGCAGAACAACTCGCACACGTGGATACGCCGTGAATACCCCAGTGGTGGTTGATTCAAATGATGATGGAACATTCGCCCAGGAACTAGAAATAGAGCAAATGAGTACATTGGAAGAGGCGATTATGGAAACGCGCAGTACATCTCTCGAAAATCGACCGCAACTTCCCTGCATAGCCCTAAGCAAGCGGAATCGGGCTGTCATGAGGGCTCTGAACCCAATGCCGGTGACCTATTTGGAAGCCAGCCGGGACCTTTGCGATACGGACTCAATTCTTTTTGGAGCCGCGCTGGCAGTCTGCCGTATCATAGGCGCCAAGGTTTCCACGGCTGGACGCACTACTAGCCAAAGTAGCGCTATCCCAGCATGGAGAAAAAGAATTGAGTAGCGTATCGCAAAGGCCAGATCTCTCTTCGGCAGACTGACATGCTTCAGATCAGGCAATAACAGGCCAAGAATTGTGCGCACCGTCAGGATGGCATTTGCTGGGACTAATGTCAGTTTGTCCCAGCCGGATATAATGCAAAAACTGACGGAGCGCATAGATGATCTGAAGCGGAGAATCGCTGCTTGGGGAAAGCGGATTCGGCGATATACCCAGAGGTCGACTCGGTTCAACCAGAATCGTCTCTTCCAGAGTGATCAGAAGAGGCTCTATGAATCATTGGAGCGACCAATGGCAAGTGGAACGGGTCCAGCATCGAATCAGGCCGACACTGTTACATTCTGGCGTGGCTGGAAAAGTCCGAGACTCGACGGGGCTGTCACTACTGGCTGAAGGAGTTTGTGGTGTGTCACACTGTGCTCGCCCGACAGTTCCAAGAGGCTCTCAACCAGAAGTCGCTCCCGAGCCTCTTCACTACTGGGATCACTCATTTGGTTCCTAAAGGCCAGGATACCACAGACCCGAGCAAATACCGTCCCATCACGTGTCTACCGACCTTATACAAGACACTAACATCCATTTTGAGTGCGAGAATCACTCGTCACCTGGACTCAAATCAGGTGATGTTGCGCGCTCACAATGGATGTCGGTGCAGTGGTCGTGGAACCAAGGAACCACTTCTCATTGACGCGGTCATTGGCAAAGTGGTGAAACGCAACCGTCGGAACTTCTCCGCCGCCTGGATAGACTAAAGAAAGGCATTCTACTCGGTGCCCTATACATGGCTAAAGAGAGTCCTCGAGCTGTACAAGATAGACTGTACAGTTAGAGACTTCCTCGAGCAATGTATGGGGCAGTGGAGTACGATCCTTTGTCATCTGGGCGAGCGGATGATGGCTGCGGAAAGCCACATAAGGATAAGAAGGGGTATCTTCCAGGGCGATTGTCTGAGTCCAATCTGGTTCTGCCTCTCTTTGAACTCTCTCAGTACTTTACTGGAGGGCTCCGGGAGGGGTTTTCAGCTTCGGAAAGGAGGTACAAAAGTGACCCATCTTTTTATATGGATGACCTCAAGTTATTCGCCTCCAGTCGCTCCAATCTTGTGGAATTACTAAACATCACTTGTGAATTTAGCAATTATATTGGAGGAGCTGGGGACGGATAAATTTGCGGTTCTCCATGCTGAAAGGGAAAGAGTTGCTAACTCTGAGGGCATAGACTTATCTATGCCCATCAGTTTAAGGACCCTTTCCGAGGCTGAAACATACCAATACCTGGGTGTGTCACAGAACATCGGTATTGATGAGGCTGGTATGAAACAGTCAGTTTGCGACGTATTTTATGCACGCTTGACTAAAGTGCTCAACAGCCTTTTGTCTGGTGTGAATAAGACTCACGCATATAACGGTTGGGTCATGCCTATTCTCATGTATACCTTTGGCATACTCAGGTGGATTCAGACTGAACAACTGACCTCGATATATACAAGTACACTGGACTGGCTATACCATACAAAATGACTGTGCCAATTTGAAGCGCCGCTAAAGGATGTCTTATAAAATAAAATTGACATAATATGCTAAAGTCTGTTGTCTTATTTATATTGTCTTATTTCATAAGTCTGTATTTTGAAATTTAAACTAAAAAACGAAAGTATTTTGTTGTTTGATTGTGTATAATATTATTATTTTAGTTACATAATAAGAATTATTTTTATTAATAATGAGAGTGTGCGTAATCTGTAAAACTCGTTACCAAAAGCGAAGTGGTATAACATTTCACAAGTAAGTGAATTTGCAGCAAATATTAAAGAAATTAAAACTATTTGATAATATAAGTACTTAAAAATTTGTTACTAATCTTAATATCGTATATACCAACATGTTTGGGTGTATATTACTGAGTTTTGATAAACAATAAAATTCAATAGGGTTGTCGAGTTCCTTGTCTATAATACTTATCGATGTTCTTTCCTACTCATATCTGTTAAAATACAAAATCGCCAACAATGGATGATTATCAAATGTTTATTTAATTAACAGGTTTCCAACTGAACCTAGACTAAAATTATGGCTTAAAAGCATAAATATTGTGAATTGGCGTCCGAAACAAAATGATCATATTTGTTCCAAATATTTTACAGACGACTGTTTTATTAGACATGAAAACTGCACCACATTGAAAAAGTGCAGTATACCGACAATGTTTTCTGGTACCAGTAACCAGTAAGTATATAAGTATTAGATTATTATTTCGAATGTTTTTTTATTTCTTCTTTCCTCATTTTCAACCAAACTCAATGGCCATAGACAAGTGTCGAAAGATCGCCTGATGATGGCGAGCCACGTTGGATGTATGTATATGGGCTGCGGCTAGAGGATATTCCTCTCCCTGGACCGCTGTAGTCGAGGTGGAGTCGTAAGGGAAGAGGAGTGTTGGTATGACGATTGGCGATGCGCCACTCGACTATCTTTCGCGACTTTGGTGAGGCTGCACCACTTGCTGCTTCCAAGTGCTCGTTTTTTCTTGGCTCCATTCACATATCGGGCTCGGGGAGTCCGTAGTGCAGCTCGTATCGCTATAAATGTTTCCTCGGTTTAAGATCTTTGTAGAATATTTAGAGCCGATACCAGGAGACCCGACGGTATGGGTTTAGTTGCTTGAGAGAGAGAGAGAGGGAGATAAAGCTTTAGTGTGGGATAGTATTTGCGAACACTTTGACAGCATCCCATCTCAGGGGTACCTCGTCTAAAGCAGGGGTGGCATTAGAGGCAACTGAACCAAGTAAATAGCCCAGAGTATCTGGAAGATAAGTACATATTTGTGCGATTTACTGTAGAGACTATTGGTCCGTAGGGTGCACGTGCGGTGTAGTTCCTAAAAAACTGTATCTGCGACTGATCATCGCTGCTGGTAATAAGAAGTTGTTTAGTTTGTTGTTTCCTCGCTTGAAGACTAAGTATAGCCATTCAGTGAGGACACGTAGCCAGCAATCTTGGGACGGTACTACAGAAAGTAGGACTTTATGATAATTTCAGTTTTTTTTAAAATATTGTAATTTCAATTTCGAAAATGACGTTGTAAAGAACTGACAACTATGTAATTCAAAGTTTATATTTTTTTATATAATCGTACCCGACGCATTGCTGCCGCAGAAGAAATAATTGTGGAAATATCGTTAAAAATGTGGAAAAGTTATTATATTGTTTAATTAGGAATGATAATACAATCACTGAATTAGAATGATATATAACTTTCTATAACTTTCAAATAAATAGTCGGTATAATACGCACGCCACCTAGTGTCGGTTACTTGTACCATGCGTATAACCTTCGCACAAGTGCAACCAATAAGTTGACTAAGTTTGACCGCAATCTGATGAACGGTATAGCATCGTAGAAAGTACGAACAAACATAAATTTTTATATAGTAGAAAATATTTTACTGTCTATAGACAGACCTGTAGTTGATTAGAATAGGCGTTATTATAGCAGCTGATTTGTTTTTTATAATACTAGAACTAAATGAACGGTTGACAATAAGTTATTCTAGAAATTATGTTTTTATTTTTATTTTCTGTAGTTCGTTTAATCTTAATAATTTTTTGGTTGAATGGTTAAGCGCTATGATGGCTATCCGAGTACAGAACCAGAGTACAAAACTAATCCAACTGTAGAGAGGTGTAAGACGGGGTGACGTTATATCCCCGAAACTATTCACCGCTGCATTGGAAGACGTTTTGAAGCTACTGGACTGGAAAGGATACGATATTAACATCAATGGCGAGTATATCACTCACCTTCGACTAGCCGACGATATAGTCCTTATGGCAGAATCGCTGGAGGACTTAAGCAATATGCTCAATGACCTCAATAGTGCCTCCCAATAGATGGGTCTTAAGATGAACATGGACAAAACAAAGATCATGTTTAATGTCCATGTCACACCTATGCCCGTAGTTGTTGGGAGCACTAATCTCGAAGTTGTTGACGAGTACGTCTACCTGGGACAAATAGTCCGATCAGGTGTCCAACTTCGACCGAGAGGTCTTCACCTCTATGTCCAACTTCGACCGAGAGGGCTTCGACCGAGAGGTCAATCGACGGATTCAACTCGGCTGGGCAGCGTTCGAGAAATTAGGACACATCTTCTCGTCAGGCCTATGTTCAGCGGTGGACTTGTGAAGAGTTTTAATGATGATGAATGATAATGGCATTATATTAATATGATACGTAAATAGAATGGACGTTACGGGTAGAGTCCATCTATCCATAGGGTCTATTCTATTTATTTAGGTATAGTATATATATATTTATAGAATGTATATATATATATATATATATATATATATATATATGAATTTTATCGATATAATTTGGTACACTATCTTATCCCTATTATTAGTTCCGTGGACGTGCACTTCGCTGTCAGCGCCAAAATGGCGGAAATCAAATCGCTTCAGCATGTCACGGTGTATAGCCAGTCCAGCGTACTTGTATATATAGAGGTCAGTGGACTGAACTTAACGCCCGGGATAGACAAGTCCGCACTACTATGACGTTCCATAGGATGCATCATCCGAGATCGTCGGTAATGAGGCTGTACTTGCCGCGAGCATGGCGGGCGTGGCTTTTTGAGCGCGCTCACCATGCATAATCGCGAAGTGTGCAGCCTCCGTAATTACTTCCTGGTGAGATCGGATGATCCATTCTATAAGGACGTCATTTTTTGTGATAAAGGACTTACCCCTCTATCCTTAGCCAACGAGCAATGGCAAGACCCGGCAGTGCAGAGCATTTCCGACCGGGAGACCGTATGGAAGGAGAAGGAGCTCCACGGGAGGTTCTACAAGGCTCTACAAGAACCTTTCGTAGACACAGTAGCCTCCCTCTACTGGCTACGCTTTGGTGACCTCTTCGGGGAAACCGAGGATTTTGTCTGTGCAATATAGGATCAGGTTATTAAGACCAACAACTATCGGAGATACATCCTAAAGGATGGCACCGTCGATATCTGTCGAGCTTGTCGCCATCCCGGCGAATCACTTAGGCATGTCATCTCCGGTCGTTCGGCGCTTTCTAACTCTGAGTACTTGCACAGGCACAACTTAGTAGCCTAAATTCTTCACTAGGAGCTCGCTCTGAAATACAGTCTCGTGGACCAGAAATTGCCGTATTACAAGTACTTGCCGGAAGCCGTGCTCGAAAATGATCGCGCCAGGCTCTACTGGGACCGGACCATCGTCACAGATAGGACTATTCTTGCGAATAAGCCTGATATTGTGCTGATGGACCGGGCACAGTCAAGGATATTTTTGGTCGACATTACCATTCCGTGTGACGAGAACCTCGTGAAAGCCGAAACAGATAAACGAACAAAATATCTGGACCTGGCTCACGAGGTGACCGACATGTGGGGTGGTCTGCCGACTGAAATTATTCCTGTAGTCGTTTCTGCAAACGGGCTAATCCCAGTCAGCCTCTCGGGTCATCTGAGAAGGCTGGAACTCCGTGACGTCCGCTCCAGGCTCAAATACAGAAGGCGGTGCTCCTCGATACCGCCCGCATCGTCCGCCGGTTTCTCTCCCTTTCCCCCCTAACCCTTGACCGTTTGTTCTCCCCTGCCGAGGGCCTCCATCTGGTTGGGCTTTTATTTATTTATGTATTACTTATTTATTTGTGCTGGTATATGAAATATATATTTATGTATATTTATGATTTCCTTTTATATATTTATTCAGCCCAACCAGATGAGAATACACTAATAATAATAATAAAAAGGCGTAGGGAAGGAAGAATAACCGTTATGTGACAAAACCGCTACGTCAGCGCAGTCAGTCAGCACCTTGCCAAGAGGTGTTAGTGCCGTGCCTCGGCAAAAATTGAAGGTGCAAAGGCCTGCTTGTGCACATGGCCTCACCATGAAACGGCGCCGGGTCTGGGCGTCTCCCGTTAAATAACGCCCTGTAAAATGGATGTTGGAATTAAATAGAACGCACAAAAGGCCGCTGCCTGGAGGTCGCCAGGGCGCGTCTGGAGCTGGCGCTGGACGCGACAGCATGCGAACCGCCAGCCGAGCGCGAGGTGCTGCACGACCACCCAATAGCCACCAGTTGGCTTGGTGTCGGCAGGTTCTTCTCAGGCCCAGCAATCGGTAGCCGCCACTGGTGGAATACGCCGCATGCGTTGGACAACCCAGATGAATAGCAACGCATTGCGGGCGTATTTTAAGGCGAAAGGGGGAGAAACTGGAGGTTTTGCGTATCGGGCAAGGATGCATCGACTTTTTTCTGAGCTGGAGCCATCTGTAACCGTCACCGAGCAAAACCTGGCAGACCGAGTGCGGTATATCTTGCGCTCAAATACATTTGATGTCACCGAACTCGAACGGCTACGACGTGAGGCTGTTCCTTCATCGGGTGAAAATGATGCAGCTGAGGATGCAGCGCCACAATTTGCTGAGCAAACGGCAAACGTGGATGCCGCCGTGAATACCCCAGTTTTGGTTGATTCAAACGATGACGGAACAGTCGCCCAGGAACTGGAACTAGAGCAAATGAGGAGTACATTGGAAGAGGCGATTGTGGAAACGAGCAGTATGTCTCTCGAAAATCGACTGCGACTTCCCCCGCATAGCCCTAAGCAAGCAGAATCGGGCTGTCGTGAGGGCTCTGAACCCAAAGCTGGTGGCCTATTTGGAAGCCAGCCGGGACCTTTGCGTGGCGGACTCAATTCTTTTTAGCACCACACTGGCAGCCTACCGTATTATAGGCGCCAAACTTTGCACGACTGGACGCGCTACTGGACAAATTAGTGCTATCCCAGCCTGGAGAATAAGAATTGTAGAACGAATCGCAAAGGCTAGGGCCCTCATCGGCAGACTGATATGCTTCAGGTCAGACAATACCAGGCCGAGGATTGTGCGCACTGTCAGGATGGCGTTTGCTGGGACAAATGTTAGTTTGTCCCAGCCGGATATAATACAAAAACTGACGGAGCGCATAGACGACCTGAAGCAAAGAATCGCTGCTTGGGGAAAGCGGATTCGATATACCGATATACGATATACCGAGAGGTCGACACAGTTCAACCAGAATCGTCTCTTCCAAAGTGATCAGAAGAGGCTCTATAAATCATTGGAGCGACCAATGGTAAGTGAAACGGACCCAGCACTGAATCAGGCCGACACGGTCGCATTCTGGCGCAGCCTGTGGTCAGAGCCCGTAAACCACAACAAGGGCCCTTGGAAAGAAGTTGTGGCGAGTCAGTGTGCAGGTATTACGGCGGATGACGTAGCTGAGGCGGTCCGTAGAGCCCCTAACTGGAAAAGTCAGGGGCTTGACGGGCTGCATCACTACTGGCTGAAGGGGTTCATGGTGTGTCACGCTGTGCTCGCCCGACAGTTTCAAGAGGCTCTCAACCAGAAGTCGCTCCCGAGCCTCTTCACTACTGTGATCACTCATTTGGTTCCTAAAGATCAGGGTCCTGGACTCAAATCAGGTGATGTCGCGCGCTCAAAATGGATGTCGGGGCAGCGGTCGTGGAACCAAGGAACCACTCCTCATTGACGCGGTCATTGGCAAAGTGGTAAAACGCAGCCGTCGGAACTTCTCCGCCGCCTGCATAGACTACAGAAAGGCATTCGACTCGGTGCCCTATACATGGCTAAAGAGAGTCATCGAGATGTACAAGATAGGCTATACAGTTAGAGACTTCCTCCAGTAGTGTATGGGGCAGTGGATCCTCTGTCATCTAGGCGAGCGGATGACGGCTGCGGAAAGCCGGATAAGGATAAGAAGGGGTATATTCCAGGGCGACTGTCTGAGTCCAATCTGGTTCTGCCTCTCTTTGAACCCTCTCAGTACTTTACTGGAGGGCTCCGGGAGGGGATTTCAGCTTCGAAAAGGAGGTACAAAAGTGACCCAATGGTTTATATATGGATGACCTCAAAATATTCGCCTCCAGTCGCTCCCATCTTATGGAATTGCTAAACATCACTTGTGAATTGAATAAAACTAAATTTACGGATTCTATCGCGTTTATTTAACTGATTTTACTTATTTTTAATTCCCGACGTTTCGGGTGCTTTACAGCAACCATGGTCACGGGGGGGACTGAGATGTTTGACGTCCCAATGTCATTGTTAGCCCGGCTACCTTCAGTTTTTGAATATTAATGTTTGGTCCGATTTACGCAAAACGAACTTACAGTATCTTGAAGTCTTGCAGTGGTATGCTTGGGTTTGGGTTTAATTTTGTTAATTATAGGATCCCAAGCAGATGGCAGCACCCAACCATCTTCTCTATTGAAATTAGGATATTTTTTAATTTCAATAGCCTCGCGTATCATCCTTGGTAGGAATCGGTGTTCTTTTGCGAGGATTTGTGGTTTATCAAATCTGATGTAATGGTGGGGACGATCTTGAACATGTTCACAGACTGCAGACTTCCCGGAGCGTCGATGCTTCACGTCAGCTATATGTTCTTTCACGCTGGTTTTTATGGATCTTTTGTTTGACCTATGTAAGAGAGACCACATTCACAATCTAACTTGTACACTCCTGCATCTTGTAGAGGGATATTACACTTGACGGATGGTAAAAATTGACTAATCTTCTTCGGCGGCTTGTAGTATGTTTTAATGGAAGCTCCCTTCAAGATGTAGCCAACCTTGTCTGTGACTCCTCTGACATATGGTAGTACAGCAGGCACACGCTCGACTGTGGTCACACTGTGTATAGAAAAAAGACCGAGGACGGTCGTATGTCAGGGTTGGCAGTCACATTTTTACAATTTTTAATAATTAACGCTATCCTGTTATTTCCCACACAATTGGCTTATCGTGTGGTACTTTCCGACAATTATATTGTTAATATTATTTTTAGCGAGAAGAAGAATTAATCAATATTATAGACTTTTTTAACTTTTTATAAGCACTGGCTTATAAAAAGTTAAAAATTGCATTGTCAAGCGCTGGCTTGACTACAATCCAACCTAGTGGTAAGTGGTGATGCAGCCTTAGAAATCTCACTATCTTAGCATAACAAATGCCTATTCAATCTTGCCTTGAAGACGCCCAGATTGTATTCGGACGGAAAGATAGACGCCGACAAATTATTCATTAAAAAGTCGAAGTAAACCGTTTGGTTCTAATGCGTGGAATATCGACAACAAAGGGGTGAAGAACCGCCGACCGCCTGGTCGTCCGATGGTGGAAAGGAGAAGAAGGAATTAAAGCGTGCAACTCCTGTGCACACTCTCCGAAATGCATCCAGCTGTAAAGTAGACCACATAATTTGTGATAATTTGTTTTTTAATTATATTTAAGGATAGTTTCGTTATAGTAGTAGAAATGGCCTTCAAGCCACACCTCCGTGCCCGTCGGAGTGGGAAGCGTGAGGTTTTTTCGTTACGGAATTTCTGTATTCGGTCCCCGCGCTCAAGGCCCGCGATAGAAGCTATGCAATAGCTTAAAAATTATTTCCTTCCTGACAATAATTTAACTGCGGCGGATAATAAAATTATATGCCCAGTAGCACTTACAATAATAAATTGGTTCAGAGACACTAAGAAAAACATCGAAATTCGTTCAAAGTTGCAGCTTTACACGGTACCTATCTAAAGAACATTTCTTAAGTGTTGGTGACAAGCAGGCGCTTTTTTAATTTTAACTTCCCATAGAGTCCTATTAGAAATATATAGCGCTCTATTCGTTTGGTTGTATTCATTACCAAGTGATAGAAAAGTGAATTTTAACTTTTAAGCCTGCGTCCCTACGATAGAATTTTTTTACAACTAAATTAAAAATAAAACCTTAAATACCATTAAGTTAAACATAAACAAAGCGACAAAAAGTTATTAAATTGTATGTGTTACAGATTATTTTTCAACAGTATATAATAGGTTGGTTCTACTGGCAGCCCTGGTACAACTGTCATTTTCATTCATTAAGTGAGTGAGGTGAAGTGACTGTTTTGTGCATTTTCGCGTTTGCGATTTGCGTGCTTTGCATTATTTGCAGTTTTGATACATGTGCCCTTTGTTATAGATATGGTTACATAAAGCAAAAATTGCTTTTCTTTAGGTCTATCAAAACTAAGAAGTAATAGTATTCGCTTTGTATTTAATCGTGCATTTGAAACTTGTTGAAAAGTAACAAAACGAGACTATGGAAAAGCACGATGAAAGCAACAATAAAAATGTATCGCAAAGATTGGTTGCTGATTACGGCTCATCTGATTCTGAATCTGAAGTAACTGAGAGTCGATCTCATACCGGCAACGATGACTCTGATAACACAGAACTTAGTGAAATGGTTTTAAAAAATAATATTATAAATGCATGTGCTCATGGTCCATTGTCTACTACATCAGATAGAGAAAATGTAGAGATTACCAGACATATGATAATAGATAGCCCAGAAACTGATATAGTTGAATATGAAGTTACAGAGTACAGGGATATTGATAGTGATTCAGACTCGAGTTCATCAAGTGATGATAGTGGTGAAGATTGGATAGACCCTGTAGAAGATGGTGACAATTCTATTGGGTAAGAATATCTGCACATAAAATATATTAATTTATAACATAGATTGTTCTGCAGTTTTTACTTACATGACAATAGGCTTACAGTTATATTTCAATACTTAATTTAAAATGTTTTAAAATGTATATTGCTGAGAGTTTAATATTATTTATGTAGAAAGTTTGGGAGCCGTTATGAAGAAAATAAATAAAACTATATATTTCAAAAAATCTTCACTTCAAATTAAAGTATAAATTGTATGCAGTATCCTAAAATGTTAAATTATTTTTAAATACCTACTTATTTACACTTTTCTGAATTGTGGTAGATCAGGGGCTAAGCATTTCTATTATATTTTATATAATGTGAGTGTCTAGGTTTTGATCTCCCCCAGGACCAATGAAATTGTTAATAGCAATTCTAAGTTCTGATTTATTATATGTATACATGTCTAATTAATTAAAGAAAAATATTATAAAGTTATGAGAAGTCTGCCAACATGCATTAGGGCAGCACAGCTGATAATTCCTTGGTCTAAAACCCTCTCAGAAATTAGAGGAGGCCTGTGCCCAGAAGTGGAACAATTGTGTGTGGGGTGTGGGATCTAAATGCTAAAATTTGTATGATGATATTAGTGGATGGCCTCTTATAACAAGAAATATTTTATTAGTATTGTAATCTTATAGGGATGAATTTGGCGGTGACAAAACAGGAAAAGTAGAACCCATTAAAGCACTTGGAGAATTGGGACTGGATGACTTACCACCTATAGAAGACCTTGCTATCAGCCTACCCTCACAAGAAACAACAAAAATTGGAGTTATCACTAGTATAGTTGATAGATTAGGTAATATAGACCATTTATTTCTATATCTTCTTGTAAGTTATTATAAACATTATTTCTTGAGGTACCAATGCAAAAAGCTTACACAATATCTCAAAAATCTTACCTTATAATAATAAAGAGGATTTGTTTTAGTTACCACACTTAGCCGGTTTATTGGTGATATTAGAGCAAGAGGTGTCCTAGAATTTATTTGATATCTCTTCTGCCAAAAAGCATAGTACCTACAGTCCTATTCTAGTTTAAATAGTAAGAGCTAATGACATTCGTCTATAGTACTCTTTATATAAAAATTACGATTTGGTTGCAGACACTTTTAGGTTACATTGACTATTGTGGTTGCTTATAATCAGGGAACTGGTAGCTTGTTAGTCAAATATTAAAAGTAAAAGAACTTGTGTACACCTCATCACCGGACTGGATATATTATATTACAATTACTCATTCTTTGCAGCCTATCAGAAATCTATTTATGAACATAGGCCTCCCCATTAATTTATTCATAGGGGGAATATTTGTAACAGTTTTTTGACTACTTTGTTGGTCTAATGGTCGTAAACACTACTGATGATCATATGGTCCCAATGTCGAATACCAGGTTAAGCCAAAAATTAGTTTTTGGGTTATACTGGCAAGATATTTTTAGTAGCAGGCCAGAGTAAGGAAGTTGGTGGAGTTACATCCGCATACCTCGAAAATCATGTAAAGTTGTTGGTCATGCATCTGATCTCTCTGCAGTATTGTCGGTTTGCCATCCCATTTCCAGTTGTGTTGGATGATGTGAGAGTGGGGCATTATAGAGTTCACCTATACATGTGCACACAATTGTGCCCTATAATCCTGTCCTATTCAGATCAGGCTAGTTTAAGTTGAGAGTGGCTATTGTTACCGAAATTCAGTCTGTAAGACACTATCAGATCAGTAGTTGCCACACTTGGCAACTGTGGTGGCAACTGCAATTTTTAATTATATTAAGTTCACTTCCATCTGTTATTTTATGACACCCACTGTATTATATGGGGTAGTAGATGGTACTATATGATGTGCGTTTTATAATATACAGTATGTTTGCAAGATGCGTGCAAATCCAGAGGGGGACGATACCTTAAACCATTTAGAAAATATTAAGCTAAACTTGTCTTAGACAAATTCTGCTCTTTTTTTTAAATTAACTTCCTAAGGTTTTTAACAAAAAAACCTTTTTTTTAATGAATTTTTAATAGTGTCCAGTAACAGTTATGATATTATTTTTTTATTTATGTGGTTTGATTATTCAAACGAAATAATTTCCAAACATCTTCATCATCAGAAAAGCATTCAGTTTAAGAAACCAAAAAAAAATTAATGAAATGAACACTTTTTAAAAACATGCTTAGTTATTGTCCTTTATTTTGAGTTTTTTTTTATAGGTAGGATGACAAACGAGTAGATAGTCCACCTGATGGTAAGTGGTTGCTGTGGCCCATAGACATCTACATTCTACAACTATCCTCGATTACAAATCAAAATGCAGATGCGTTATCATCCGTGAGGACTTAGGTGGAATACTCGTTTTCAGTAAAAAGGGTCTCCGGTTCTCTAACTCACCATACGAAACACAGCAGCATTAAGCTACTATTTGACGCTGGTATTCTGTGAGAGTGTGGTTCTTCCCCGGTCGAGCCGACCCATTTGTGCTACAACTATACTACTAATATAACGTATAAGCAGCATGGCTCTATCACGTATTTACGCACATGTCTCCTCAACTCTTGGAATCAGGCCTCTTATCCATACATGTTTTAGAGCCTTGAAAAACTATGGTTGTTTCATCGTGTGTAGACACGGTTGTCAGTGTTGTATGGAACACTATGGAAGTTAGTTGACGGATGCGGAGGCTCTATGGCACGGCGCCGCCGCCGTACTCTTCGTGTCTTCCTCTCGGCGCCGTGTCTGCGCCCGGTGTGTTTTAAGGCAGTGTTTGTCGACGGCACTGGACATTTACTCAACGGGAACTATTTCGTGACATCTTACCTACGTTTTTTGTGTTACAATGGAGATAAACCTAGGGTTATTGATTACGTCGATTCATGAAAGGCCTGTGATATGGGATGAAACTATCAACAATTATAAAAATAAGCGGCTAAAGTTTGATAACTGGAGAGAAATCTTTGTTCATTTATAGCCAAGTTTTGAAGATTTAAGTGGTGAGGAAAAAAATTTGGTAAGTTATAGATATATTTATTAACTAGGTATACAAAAGCTTACTTAAGTATTGGTATTTTGACAAAAAAGGCTACCCTCGTTAGACATAAAATATTGTGCCAAATCTGTTGCGAATTTCATCAGTTGCAAACCTTCCGCGAACTGCATTCGTTATAGGTAACTGTATTAGTTCTGACTTCTGTGTCAATTGTAGATTCGTTTTCACTCGCGTCATCTTAGAAGTGAGATCTTTCCTCCTTATGTATAAAATTTTGCAAAACACATCATGTTATTGTAATATCTATCGCTAAATCAATAGACACAGTAATTAGTCGGTGAAAAATATGACATTTATTTGATAAAATCACATTCAACATACCTTCGCGCTCTTGTGAGCCTAAAGTTAAATTTTCGTTTCAATTTAATAAGTTGATGACCTCCAAATGGACAAACTCCAACAAACACAAACGGCAATTGTAGTCAGTTTCAGGAAATGTGTTGGATCAGGTAGATTTAATGTGTTGTTTGTTAGATTTTGCCAAAATTTGATTTCTTTAAAGACACTGGAATCAAATTTTTTTCCGTAGGCACCAATGTCAACAAATTTACCTAAAGTTGTAATCGCTATCTGCTACTGCCGTTTGAAAAATAGTGTTAATAATTTAATAAATATTGAACCGCTGTCGACAGGCTTAATAACTCTGATATGTTTACCATCAACCTCTCCTAAGCACAGCTGAAAGTCAGAGGATTCTTGAAATTTGTTCGCAATTTGTATCCAGTCTTCTTTGGATGGCATTTTCATACATTCTTTATACAGTTCAAACCAAATGTAGTGACAAACTTCACGTAAGATGCGACTTATGGTTTTTATTCCAATTCTATAGTTGTAGTGTACGTCAGTAAATGTGTCCCCTGTTGCTAGATACCTGAAATATTAAATAATAATTTTATTTTCAGAGTAATCAGTGATGAAGAAGTGGATCAATATAAAAGATAACTGGATAAAATATGATATAAAAAGATTAATGAATAAAACTCTGTCTCTGTAGCAAGAAAAATAAGAAAGTATATATTTTATTATCAAGTTATTCTTAAAAAAATGTTGATCATTGCAAGACTTATTCCAACTTGAATCTATATGATAATGATTCAAGCATTAATAATGAAAATGCAGACCAAAATCAATCAAGCTTGGGAAACATTAGGAGTCAAATTCAAAGGACAAAAAGAAAAAAATGAATGTAATGAAGTTGACATTAAGTTTATGAAGTTTATGGATTCAGCAGAACTGACTTGAGAGTAGCCTTAGTATTAACATTTTTAGGGGAATTGCTGATATAGTGATGCAAATATGATATGACTTTCGGTTTCAAGTCATTTCAATTATTAAAAGCATTCAGCAAAGAGAAAATACACAATATATACCTACATTTGGAAATCAAAGGAATCAAGGATTTCATACTGACAAATCTGCTATTTCCAAAATATGGATCTACAGCTGCTGGTTCAGGCTCTGAATTCCGTCGTCGACGTCGAAGACCTCTGCATATGTATATAATTAACATGTGACAGACATCCAGTTCTAGCTTGCAATTTCTAACCGATCTGTTATTTAGTTATCTTTAGATAGTGAGAAAACGAAAAGTACCTCTGCAGGTTCTCCAGCTAGTATTGAAGAATTTGATTTCATTTCCTCATTCCAGTAGTATTAGCTCCAAGTCAGTTTTTTTTTTCATTTGTTACACACAAATGATTAAATTATTGATTAGCGAAAGTCTGTATTTTGTTTTTAATTTCTTACTTCAAAGTTACAGCCAATCTTTCTGCGGGCTATGTACAGTCTCACATATTGGTATGTTGATATTTTAGTTTCTGCCATAATTTTTGTAACAATTTATTATTATATTATTTCGTTTTCTGCATTCTAAACTAATTGTAAAACTTATCTTCGTTTTCCCTCTTCTTCGGTTTATATATGGGTGACATATCATTTTTTATTAGTTTTAAAGATCTGTAACTGACTTTCCGTTGTTTGGTATTTTTCAGTTAGGTACCCGGCTTCTTACAGATCGAATTTAGTCTACCACCCTTACAATATTATTACTTATCCTTGCAATATTATTTTTATACGGTACTAAATTAATGCACCATTAGAACTGATTAGTTTTTAGAATTACAGTGCACATGCACGGATTAACTTTTGGGAACTCGTTTAGCAAAAGCCGTCGCGTGACCTAAAAGAACTTGACGGTTTTTGAGTCTCAGGCAGCGCCTTGTGTTTAGATTTTTTTCAATAGAACGTTCAGCTTAGTAAATCACATAAAGTCGTTATTTATTTACACTAATTAGCATCAGTACTCGAGTAGTAGGGCGGGTTCGTACAGCTTCGGACCCTCAGTTAGTCAAGTAACGACTGCCCTTGTGACTAGACGTTTTAATTGCGAATTCGTGCTTATTTCGGATGTCCTTCGATGTTATCCGACTATTTGTGTGATCTGATATAGTCTTCGTATATGGCAGAGCTGACGGTAACGGATCTTTGGCACGGCGGATGTACCAAGAGCAATATCCGAATGGATTATGGATTACCAAATGTCAGCAGTGGCGAAGCTAGGGCTCCAAACTAGGGCAAGCCCAAGTAATGGTTTTGTTGTTTTTAGCACTTTAATAAAAATACTCTTTAGTTTTATATTCAGTGCTGTCAAGGGCGTGTTTAACAAAGCACATAGAGAGCATACTACCGCTAGATAGATTGTATGACATAATATGCAATTGCACACCTTCGGTGGTTTTGAAAAGAGCCGTTTGGGTTTGCT